TTGGCTGCCGATTTGCTCCCCATTTGCCAGAGCCAAGCTAACATTAGTCGTTGTGCCACCAGCGCCTTGCAGGGAAAGCCCAGTTGCGATTGCATGGGCGTCCAGACCTCCTTCGCTGCTCACACCTACTCCGCTATTAGTTCCAGAAGCAGCGTGCCTGCCAAGACCAGAATTCGCAGTATGACTCTCTACCAGAGCAGTAGTTCCACGACGTCGTGTACCCAGTGAACCATTCATGCCGGCACCAACATTGGTGCCTGATGTGACACCTGGACAGCTACTTGCTGGAGGCAATGAGTCACGCGGGCTCAGTTGGCCAGCAGGGCCGTTGTGATGTGAAGCGTGGTGGTGAGTGTGCTGCGAGTGTCGAGTAGGAATATGCTGAGTTTGATGTCCGTGTGCTTTAAAAGACTCATGCCCTGCTGCTAGTTGATGTGCTGGTGTGTGCGCATGCTGATGGTGATGTTGCGAATGAAAAGTAGAATGCCCTTGTTGGGTCTGTTGTCCATTTGAACTAGGTGGCAAGTTAGAGAGAGGTGGCATTGTTGAGGGAATACGCACAGCACTAGGACCATGCATACCTGCAGAACCAGAAGCAACGCCTGCCTGGCCACGAGTGCTGCTCATATGACCAGGACCCGTTATCTGGCCATGTTCGACGTCTCCAGGACAAGGCATATCAGAACTTGCCAAATTAGCGCAAGAGCCAACTCCAGCACCACCAGGACCACGCCTTGGGTTTCCCACCTGAGATGCAACTCCTACAGAAGCGTTTCCGGCCAAACTCGTCTATTAAATTGATAAATGATGTAATAATTAAGACTATGGGGAGTAAAACAATATACATAGACAAGATGATTCATTATGATAGCTCTAAGCATAAGTGATTAGGGCCTACAAATATATCATAATTTAAGAATTTAAACAAGCCCCCTATGATTAAGAGTACTAACTATCACTTTTTTATGGTGCCTATAAAAAATAGGTAAATAATTTTTAATGATAGTTTCAACATCACCAATATATAATAAAGTTGATTTTGATTGGAAACATATTTTGTCTTCTTAATATATCTCTGTTATAGTTTATAGCGGCCTTCTATGCCTTGTGGCATATCTGTCCTCTAAATCAGTAAGTATAGAAGCATCTGACAAAGTTAATAATCAGACTAAAACTGCACGTTCTAGATTTGACTTCCGGGGTGGGGATGGGCTATGGCGAGATGGAAATAAAATTACTGTATAGATAGCAAAATGGTTAGAGTAGCTATCAGCGCCCAAAAAAACGAGGGACCGATAGCATTCCTTTATTCCTTATAAGTTTCGATTTATAAATTATAAGATGAATAATATTTTAC